TGGGGTCCCGTGCAATGCTTCTAACAGGTCGCTATCTCCCATGGACATCGGGACTGGAAGAATTGGATTCCCATCAGGACAGCGCGCAGACCTGGCCTGGCAGCAGCTGATAATCAAAGGGAGCTAGCTGCACGGTGGTTTTATCGTCTAAACACACTGTGGGAAAAAGCCCCGCGGGCCACCGGTTCGCATTTGCCGTGTACTCAGGAATGTAGGAAATTCTCGACTGCTCGAAAGAGTTTTTTGTTGAAGTAAGTTGGGGGACATAAGTCGGCCACTTGTTGGTTGAGAGTTTCTGGTTACCAATAAAATTACTCGCTTGATTCGGTCGATAAGCGTGGTTTGTTTTGACATTAATCTTGAATGCTTTTGACTGGTTATCGCCAGTGGTAAAGATGTTTGCGGTGGGAAACTGCACAGGTTACGTCAGTGTGAAAAAATGTAATTCATGGTTGACGTAACATTTTGTAAGAATACGTCATGAATGCGTTGATCTATAATGTTCCACCTTTCCTGCCCCCCGTGGTTATGCCACTTCTATCTTTTTTAACCAACTGGCCTTGAAATTGATGAGGATATCGTGGTCTGATAATGACAGAATGTAGCAATGACTGGAAGTTGGAACGTGGTCTGTGTACAGACTAGGCCATGACGATGTACATGTAGTGATGATGTACGAGTGTTCGTTTGGCTTTTGAAGGAGATCATGTGCGCAACTTGGTAGTGATCGTGGTTGTGCCAACGACAATGAAAACATCGGCAGCAGTATTTTTTTTAATATATTAGCTGTCATAATTGAGTCATTCCTCTTTTTAAATTAACTGAGCACTAAAAAGCCTTGACACCCTTGGTCGTGTACAAAACTATGGACCTCTGAAGGATTCAAGGTGTTTGTAGGCTTTTAGGGTTAAGCTTTATCTTTTCCAAGCAATCTATAATCTACAACCCCATCAGTGGCTAAAGACGGAGTAAAATCATCCCCTGTTTTCAAAGAAACGCCTCCGAAAACCTCCAAATCTCACGGGGATAAGCTGCGCTTTTTGTTGACTGACCCCCCCACGCCTCGCGACGTCCATTGATTGATCAACCCAACACTAACCACTCCAATGTCTGACACTGACAGTCGCTAACAAGAAATGTCAACTTCTTATCGGAGGGGACGCAGAACCACGAACAGACGAGTACACAAAGTCCACGGCCTCGGCACAAGTAGGGTTGACCTGCGGTTGCTGCGGTTAGGAGCATGGAGGTTTCCCCTAATCTCAGGGGCTGAATGCCCTACTCGGCCGCGCGAAAAACCTTTTATATATCGGCTTGGGGGCCTGGTCATGTCCCTTTCAACAGGAATGTTTGCACACGGATCTCTTGTTAGTTTGCTTTTACAGTGTAGAAGCATGGAGGCCGGTATTATTCCAGAGGGGCAGCCCAAGAATTGGGCAGCCTCGGTAATAAATCTCGCTTGGGCAGTGTCAACTTCGATGTGTCCCCCACTTTTAGGGGTTTAATTAATGTCAGGAGCCATAACATGCTAATTGCATGTAAAAACCATATTTAGTAGTGTGCACGTACAGCAAGACCCAATGAGGCATAGTGTTGTAATATAAAGTATTTTTTTCCCAAGAACGCTTTCACAATTTCATCACTCACTGCATACTACTCTGGAAACTATGAACCGAACGGAATAGGCTTCATAATAGTAAGTATTTATCTTACCTTTATAACTTAGTGTGGAGTTGGGACTTTTGAGACCAATCCAATCAGCCGAACAGTTGGTTGTAGCAAAAACGTACTTAACGGATATATCATTGACTTCCAAACCAATCAATACCCAGCAGGCTTTCAAAATCTATCTATGCATAGCCCTAGCAAATGTGCCCATGTTTTGTTAGAAATAGTTCAACTATGGATCGATAGTGTTAGGTGGCGGCGTTAATCTCATAAACATTGCAGAAATCGTCAACTGGAACACGATCTCTGCCATTGAATTCTCTTTCTTTTATCAGTATATCACTTTCTTCCGCAACGAGTCAATCTATATGCTATATTTAAAATCCCTCCTTGAGACGCACCCAGGTGCGAAAAATACGGCGCTGGTATTTCAAGAAAGGTTTGTCCACATTGTGACGTCGTGTAATCGATAACATACCCAAACCATAGAAAGATCAAGGGAACAGTGCCCAAACCCATCCCGGGGCTATTTATTAATAACAAGACCCATAAACGCAGGCTGGATGCATTTTCTTTCCAAAAATGAACCCCGAAGATGTACGGTCTCTATAGTATAGTGCTTAACTGCAGAGTTGAACATCATCCATCAGTACAAGTTTTGTTTAGCCTGTCACATTATTTATTAACTTTTCAAATTAATTTTAGCGTTTCTATAATCCTGTATGACTAAGCATAGAAACTGTGACAAAATATTACGCCCACTTTAATATTTCTCATTTTTTTGACGCTTCAAGACATTGGAGTGTATTCGTGCCAAATGAAACCGTTTCAATGGTCGTATTGTAATGTATGGAAGGGAAAAGTCTGACTTGGCAAACCTGACAACTTCAGCTGCAATTTTATTCAACTGCCGTAGCTTTTGTATTCCCTCGAGAAGTTCTGTGCGGCCAAATCGATCCTACATGTATCCGTTGCCGACGAATTAAAGTGTAAAACCATGTGGTGGAATTCAGATTAATTTAAAATTTGCCGCCCAAATTTGCATTGGGGTCCCAAGGATGTTGTGTTTGTGTTTATACATGATACTTGAATTCATCGACTCAGGAACTCGCCCATTTCAATGCCCAACATGTCACGTATATTTTGCTGGAGACTCGGCTCGATAGCAATAATCATCCGCACAAGAAAACACATTATCAGCCACCTTTTTGGGGGTCAATATTGGGCTAATTTTTCCTGAAGTCCGTGTGTATATATATCCGGATTCTAAACACATTCCAAGGACTCTGATCAAAGTACTGCAAAGACTGAATAAATGAATGAAAGTAATCCGTGCCCTTCGCTGAAAATGTGGCATTGGGTGGGCATCGTATTGTGGTAGTATACTCGCAGTTAGAATAACCACTGCCATTCTGTATATGAACAGCGCACGCGTAGTCCCCTGTACACGTTAACCGCGTGATTGCGTAAGGGCCCTACATACCGACACACAGTGCCCCAAGGCCTTTGGTCTGGGTTCCCGCCATAGAGAGTACCACGTGTCTACTGAAGTAAACAGGTACCGATCAACTCGCCGTGGCAAGGGCGATTTGGATCCTTTGTAAGGCAATGCATTGTACGGCTGTTGTTAACATTTGGTAAGCTCCAACAGTTCCCACTTTTCTATGGGAAATAGAGAATAATGGGCAAGCAGGTGTCGAATGCAAAACAACCAAAGGCCTTTAAATTTTAAAGGCTCGCGGAATGAAGTAAAAGTGAAACCACCCGATGCGCTGAGAAAGTACTCCCTACACTGTTGTTACGCACACGAATTTTTTTTTTAGTTTTGCTAACATGCAGTGTATACCATGGTGTGTGGAGGGATAAGGAAATCTGCAAATCGGCATATTTTACTGGATTGGAATTTGTTTTTGAGGTAAAGCAGTGGGCAGTGTCTATTCAGGCTTTGACTGGAAAAGCAATTGATGGGTAGCTCGTGTTTGTCGATCAGAGAAATCTAAATTTATGAGGGATTAAAAGTAACATTTTAGATTTCACATTGAGGGTTGAAACGACGAAAAAGCTGTTTTTATAAGAAAACCATATAAAGTTCCAAAAATCGAGAAGCCAGATTGATCATCGCCGTAGCCACAGTGTACAACCAGACACAGTGGTCTTAACGTTTCCAAGAGGAAACAGTTGCCTTAAACTGATACCATCAGTCATTGCCCACATCCAAAGATCTGCAGTGCAGCGCAGGAATACAACTAAGGAGGCAGTGCATGCAGTGTCATTGGAGTTCATCGGTATGCCTTCGGTAACAGGCGGGGCCATCGATGCCAAGGCGATCCCTGACCATCGATTTGGCAGGAGAGCCCACACCACGGGGGACCAAACAAGGTGAATCCGCAACAACACCACTACGCAAAAGGATCGAAACTGCGTGTTTTGTCCCTGCGAATTATTGCGTAACTTAAGATACACTTAATAGTCCCGGAATTATTCTCAAGGACTCTCCACTCACCGGGGCCTCTGTTTACGCAATGGAGTTGTAGCATCACACTACGGCAGAGAGGATGACAATTAACAGGCAGTCTGATTTTAAAGGGCCGTGACTGCTGTACGCGCGGTCTGCACAAGCTAAAAGTTTTCCATCACTGCGCGCACTAGTATAACTAACCAAAAGTACTTGGATGGAAACCTTGAGCGTGCATGGTAGAAATTGACGTGGATGATGTTGACGTGCCTTTCGTGTGGTGCATAGACAAAAGTTAATTTGTCACAGAGAGGATATCATTAATTTTGGCATAGCTGTATTGTTTTTATTACGAACTTCCTTAATCTTTTTATAGACTCTAGGACTTCTTAATCATTGGAACTTCAGAGTAAGAATGGTGCTCCGCTCCTACTTACTACCAGATTACTTAATCAAGTAACTTTTTACTTAAGAGTCTGACAGGTGGATCAGCTGTAATGAAAAAAAACCTGATTGAACTTCAAAACGGAAATACATTTGATTTAAATGCTGAAGGATGACTGAGATTAGGTTACAGGAAAAAGTGCAGTCACCCCTTGACTTGAGCATGAGACATCTCGGAAAATATCATGCGCCCAAGTAGGACAGAGACATTAATAAGTGTATCACAGAGCAACCGGTTATTACGTGGGTTAATATACGTGGTGATCTATGCCTGAAAGGTTTGCTGATTGTTTTATACAATTTGGCAAGGCAATCATGAAAGTACAGTGACATATCACTGGGGGGAGGGGCAGTTTGCCAACGAACTTTCAATTTTTTTGGGTCATTTTTGTTTTACCCAACTGAGATTACTTCATAGGTGAGTAGGAAAGAAACTAATCAGTATATTTATTCATTAAAAAATTGCAACCCCCCCCCAAGAATTATGTTGAATGAGCCCGAAAGGGCCTTTGCGATTTCAATTTGCCCTCCCACACACCACATTTGATATGCTACTGTGCAGGTATAGTTAGCACTGGCAACTCGACAGCTTTGCTGCACGATCATGCTCCCATCCAGCTCCAATCAGTCATACAGGCTTAAGGAAGGGGTTATGGAGGAAGAAGACACGAGGTCCGTTCTGACAATTAATGAAGCCTTCACACTCCGTCAGAGGCCCTAATGTTAAACGTCGACAAGTCTGTATTATTGTACTTTTTATAGCCGACTCGGGGCAACCTCACAGTAAACCCCGTTCCTTGAATTTTGAAAACACTTGCCAACCACGTATTTTTTCACAAGAGAGGCTTTCACCATAAGTGCATCAGCGGTAGAGTTGGTAGGATGGGGAGAGACTATTAGTCGTACTGTTTTAGAGATAAGAGCGCATGCTTTTCACAGTTTCCCCTTATAACTTTTTCCAGGTAAAACATAACTGTTCTTATAATAAAGCAACATTGGTAAGTACTCCCGCCCCGAACTTTTCAGTCAAGCTTATACAGAGCCTGCTACGTCTGGGGAATACACTTATTTTTTTTTTTTTTGAACAGAGAGTTGTCAAACATTAGCCTAATGTTTTACAGCTTTGAAGCTTTTCACGGTGAAGGTGGCAAGTTGGGTGAAGGGGTTCATGAGTGAAGGGCATCATGCAGGATATATCTTTTTGAGCATGCATAGTTCTGCCGGTTGCATTGATCCCTTGTACTGAAAACAATGCCATCCTTCGTTCCCCACAAATGGGTGGAAAGACAAACACTCGTCATGGCTCATTCAGCCATCCATTGTGTGCGTGATGGGCACATATCCGTGTTCACTCAAGTCAAATTAGCAAATACAGACATCGCGGGAGACGCTGAAGATGGGTATCTCTATCAAACGCTCCGCACGCGAGAGAAAAAAAGTTGCGAAACCGCAATGGACTTCGAACCCAAGCGCTTGTTAGTTCCGTCCGGTGACTCAACCGACAAACGATCTCTGATGTAGCATTTCTCTATGGCTGTTCCGTGCCTGTAAGCCTGTCACGCAGGAAAGATAATACCGAAACGTTCCGTTGAACTAATTATCGTGTCGATTGTTCGGATAAGAGATCAAATGCTGCAGTTAAGGAGAGACGCATCCTGTTAAAAGATTATAAAGGCCTATACGATTCTGTTGGATAAAACACAAATTTTAAAATTAATAGCATGAATACCGATATAATGCATCGCTGCACGCTGCAGATGGGGGGTGGGGCAAGGGCGGCGACATCCTCCCTCCTCAAACTTTTGTTTAGGAATTTTTCCCTTAAAACCCCCGAATTTACTTTCACCCCTCAGAAAGGCTCAACAGGTTACATACAAAATAGTAGTGTCTGTAATAAACGTTCGCTTGTTTTGGAGCCACGGGTTCCGTAGAACGGGTGACACACGCTAAAGTTCTCCCCCCCCCTAAAATTTGGTTCTGGATCCGCCCTTAACCGACACTACCAATGCATGTACAAGAATTGCATTTAAATGTGAACCAAGAAGGGTACATGGTTGAAACTAAGGTAGATCAATTGACGGGGATACTGACTGGCTCGGGAGCGCCTTGATGCATTTTTGAACATTGTCCACACCATAATAGCAGCAATGCACAGTAAATTCCTTCATTCCATATAAAGAAATATCCTTGAATACTGTTGCCTGGCAGTGCCTGGTGCTTAACAAATGAGACAAAATGTACGGTACAGCATTATGTCCAGAACTACATGTACATTACAACTATGTGGGCGGTGTTGTTGGGTTTACCAATGAAAGCTTGAAGGGACTCGGCTTCCGTTCACGGTTGGTCACCACAATTCATGTCAAGCAACTTTAGAGATGACAAAGCTTTCAGTATCAAGGAACAAAACATCGTCACGTGACTATCCTTTTCAATCAGCTCCAAGCACTCGTCCGTCATACAAACATTGAAACAACGCTTCTAAGCTTGTATACCCCAAAATGCTGTGGAAAATAAACAAAGTAATTAAACGGCTGCCCACTGGCGTCATCTCAGACTGTGAGCAATTCAAATTTAAAAGTTGAGTAGCAGTTGTATAAATGAACATGAATAAAACTTTGTATTCATTAGCCTTCGGAGATAATGAAGAGGGACACCACCATACACGGTTACTAAGGTTTACTTTCATGCTTGATAATCCTTGCATGCTACCTCGCTTTTTATCTGAATTTGCCTATCAACACGATGTCCGACCACTTAAACGAGCTATACATTTAGCGTCCAGCTTTTTAAAGGAGATAACTGTCACATAAAACAATCATAACTTCTTCAAATTTGCAGATGAGCTGACGGGTAAGCGTAAAATGGATTCTTAGAGGAGAGTTATTGTAATTAACAAATCCCAATAAACTCGTCAAGAAATGGTTAGTGAGATAAACTACAATTACGACCAATTTGCTATCAAAAAAAATTCACCTGGTGTGGAATCATGACAGACAGCGAGGCGTGACCAAGGAGTTGCAGTAAGGTCACACTAAAACGGAATGGAGATTTCAAAGCAAAGCTGAGACATCAAAATCGATTATACTGTAGGCCTACGTCAGGACGGTGGAAATTAGGGTCGTGACCATGGTTGAAATTAAAAGAAAAAGCACGGAATTACAATATGTCACAAAAGTATCCACAAACATGACAGCATTTATTCGACCTACCTAACTAGTGTCTTCACAGCCTGACACACTAACTGAGTTTGTAATTTTACCTAAACGATTCTAGTTTGCATAAGCAAACGACCCTGGCTAAAGGTTCTCATATAAAAAAAAGACCTATTTCGTGCCTGGTTAGGTTGACGGATAATTTTTTGATACCACAGAAGCATAGGCTAATCATGCCAGACGCATGATGACGTATAATCCAGCTACAACCCAAATTTTTGCCTCGAGAAAAGCGATGCTTCAGTTAAGAATCCATACACTAACAGTGTTACAAAAACTGGGAAGCATCACAGGTGCTGGCGCCATATGAACTTTTGTTACCAACATTGGTCGTGGGTAGGTTTTCGCCAACTGTTCTCCATCACACATAGCCTGGATCAACGGAAGAAACTTTCCTACATAATAAAAAAAAGAAAGGTTGTGTTGGCTTGGAACTGTTCTTCCTGAGATGAACTATGGAGACTGAGAAGATTAAATATAAATCACACCCGCCATTCCCCATTGAACCAAGAAGCCACCACTTCCGTCTTTGTCTGGTAAGAGTTTCAGACCTTTCCTTAAATTTCAAATTGAATTTCCCCTGGAGATCCGGTACAAGCCATGCCTAGCGCTCCACCCTCCACTCAGTAAAAAGGTTCCCTTAATGCTGGTTCTTTCATTACATCCGGCCGCCAGCTCGTGTCGGGGAGGGATTTCCCCTAAAATGGCGCAAGTGGATCTCTGCAGTGTTTACGTCATGGCCCAGAGGGCATGCATGGTACTAAAATCGTGCAAATGCTTCACAAGACGTGTGCTTTGAGCTTTCAGTTTATAGGACCCCCCTTAAGTTACCTAGTTTTAGCTCTTCTCCTCATCGGCGTAGCACTGTTCATAAAAACAAAATTAACACTGGGTTGAAACGTGGTTCAATAAAACTTCTCAGCCCTGTGGCAGTTTTTAAGTCCTCTGCAGAAAAATCCACATCACCAAAACACAAATTGAACATTACGATTGTCTATCCCTATCAGAGAGCCTTGCAAAATGGTTCAAATGTAAGATGAAAACTCACCAGATGCCGTCAATATGGAAATTATTGGTACCGAGACAATCTGAACAATTCCTCAAACAGTAAACACCCAAAAACAGTTTCCATGGGAGCTCTAGCCACCAGACCCTGGAGCCTTGTCTCTGAAACCCGCCAAACGTCACAGTCACCGCAATGAAAGAACAAAACTTACCGTTCCTTCATGCCCACACGTGACGAAATAGCAATTAATAAGGCAAGGCCAGCAACAAACAAGCCACAACTTTCAAAGACAGTGAAAGACGCCACGACCATAATGGCTCCTATTATGAGTTTATGGGGTCGCTGAGCATTTTGTGTCCGTCGTGAGGCCACAACCAAGGATGGACTTAATCCGACAAATCATTCGCCACTAGGTACACCTACATGTATATAGCACGGTATTCGGCAACACACGGACGAAAGGTCGTTTACTTGTTGTCTCTTTCAGTCGCATTCTTGAAAGACACGGTGACACAAACAAACTCTTCCTAAACAAATTTAGATATAGATAGTGCCGAGATTGTCCACATCGTTCATTTGCACTTCTGTGAACTCAGAATCCTTGAAAGCGTTCTTAATTAAAGAAAAATTTTTTTAGATTAATAATGATGAAAAAAAACCCCGGAACACGCACCAGAAATGTTTACTCTTTTGAACCTTAGTAGTTTCAGCAAAATCTTTCTGATGAAGCAGAAAGGAACAAAAATCAACCAGAGCAAGACATCACTTCAGCTTCTTTGACACTGGTTGGTTGTTGCACTTTTTGTACGGTGTAAAAAATTAACATACTCGTTAATATTCATTTTAAGAACTCCGCCTGACGTGCATTCATTGCGCACACTATGGGGATGTTTTCGTGGGTATGATAAAAAAGAGGCAGAATAAATAAACATACCGATAAGCGTAATGTTCATCTTGATTAATGCAATCAGATTTTGATGAATTTTGCTCGGTTTAATATACTGACCTAGTCAACCAACTTTTTTCCTTTTTCGTTTTCTGTATGTGTAAAACCAACAATAGGTTTGGAAAAATCAAACTTCACTCGGGTCGCTACCAAACCAATCCTCTAATCTTCAGTGTTTCCAAGGGGAACAATGTAGGGTTGAGTTTATAATTGATATGCTTGGTGTGGTGGGAACAATTCCACGAGGCGCCCGAGGGGCAAAATGGGAAGCGGAAGCGATGGTGAGGACCCGGTCCGCGTCATGCCTCAGGGCGGAGGCGGTAAGTGAATATTTCGTCGTGACTATCCACTTTCCAGGAAGCCATTGTCTGGAGGTCCCAGGTAAAGGCTCCCGTCGAAGCGGACTTAGCAAAGAATTCGGAAACCTCCTGCCCCACATTCCACCGAAACTCGGAACAGAGTCAGGCCCACATCAGAGAGAAAGTGGTGTTAAAAGGAACTCAAAACGTTTGAACTTGCAACAAATAATTTGTGTGCAACAATGCATTATATGTTCTCTTGCAGACGCCTGGTAAGGTGCAGTTTAACTCTAATTTTCACACTGAACATTCGAATTTGCCAAAACAAACACCCAAAAGCTCACAGTCACTCAAAAATTGTTGCAGACGTAACAATATGCAATCTACATAGGTCTAAGTAACTATTGTTTACCTAAAAAAAGTATTTTTTTGATGAGGTGTACAGCCATTGTATGCGTCGTAAGTATACAATGACGTCACGTTCGTCAACAAACCCGCGGGTGGCGCGCTATTGTTAAGAGGCCTTGGCTTTTGTGTGGTCAAGATATCGTCAAGAGTCAGTAAAAACCCCAAACAGAACATCTCAAAATAGAAAATTACGTTTGTTGATTCAGCACTAAACAGTGCTGACAACTTCTTCAGTATAGACATTTTGTCTTCCTTGCTCAGCATATTGTATAATGACGACCACAATGCATCATTGAAGATTTAAAGCAACACAGCTCTTGACGTTTCCTTTTTTTTTAGCATGTGACGGAAAGATCTGTCGAGTTGAAAAGAATGCCGATAGTTAATTCCATTACGTAAAATGCACAGTGATAGGATGGAAAACAGTTGTCATAATCCGTCTATTGCAAAACGTACTGAAAGTTACCAAAATATCTCGTCATGAGGTCGGTAACCAAAACCTTGTTTAGAGACCACAAGGGTTTGTTTACTGCAAGTACAATATATCACGTGAAACATCCACACAAACCACAGATGAAGTCCTCGGAATACCATCGAGACCGATTTTAAAATGCATGGCACCTTACATTCTGGGTATTCATACTACAAACACATGTATAAAACCAATGCTTATCATAAGAATATAGCAAAGTGGGTGCAGAGTCAGAGAGTGGTTGAATCTGTGGCCGAGACACAATGCTAAAAAGGAACCGAAGCCTCCTGGCAGAAAATGTCAACTGTGGTGTATATTATTTCGCTCTTGAGTGAAGTCTGTGAGCAATACAAGGTTTTCGCAAATGAACAGCAAACAAATGAAGGTAAACAGTTTATGCATTTTCCATAGAGAAGACCCAGAAGAGTTATCAAAGCTCCTATGGAAGACAGTTTCAGTATTATGGGGAAAATATGACTAATTATTAATGTACGCGCAACACTGCAAGAGTGACTTACTGCAATCGCCAGTTCCATGTGACACCACCGGCCAGCAAATCAGACTTTGGTCGGAGTGTCTCATATTATCTCACGTTATCTCATCACCTGTCGTGAGAAAAGGCAGTCGTGTGTCGGAAACCGGGTCATACGAGATGACGTCACATAATGGTATAAGTGTAAAAAAAAGTGGCCAATTCTTTGAATAATATCCGACAGCTCAAATTTACTTCGTTTGTATTATTTTCATTTACACAATTGATATACCTGTCATCACGACAAATGAATCGACCACAACAGTATAGGTCGAAGGTCTGAATCCATCCTTTACTTAGTTCAGGTTACAGATCCACACAGTTTTACTTTCAACTTTTCCTCCTCGTTATGACTAATTATCATACTTGGACTAAAGGGAAACGTATTGCAATAACACTGATTAGGCAATGACATACACGCAATGTAAGTTAATGCATCGGCCAGGCAGACTCAATTCATCGATTCGTTCATCAATTTCCCAATACAACGTTAAATCTGCAAATATTCTCGGTAAAAAGCATGCAATGCCATGCATTTGCCACATCAATTAAGAATGAAAATAGGGCTTCAGAAAAGGAACATTGCCATAGACTGAAATAATAATACATGTACTTAAAACACTGACCCTTTCAATTCCAAGAGTATATACCACGTGACATACAAATCTATCAAGAATGATTAGTTTGACCATTTTTTTATGAAGGAGCACTGTATTTCATGGTCCATGACGTCTTGCATTGCTTTGTGGTCAGGGCTGAAAGCTGGAAATCCATTTTCAGGAAATTTTTTTCCAATCTTGTTTAATGGAAGAGAGAGAAATCGTCTGGTTCCGGAGGCTGATAAGGCTTACACGATTGCAAACTGCGCACATCCAGTTACAACACTCTCGCAGCCGGACACGTAACAATCATTCCTTGATTACGACGCGGATGCGATACTTTTGGGTCAACAGCGAGGGGGGAATTGTTCACATCGCTGTGCTTCCGTAAAACAGCCGACCAGTTCCTGGAAATCACTCACGCTGTCAACTGCTTCGCTTGCAAAGTCCACATAACGCACCACAGGGATGCCTGAATTGAAACAAAATACGAATCACAATGTCGGAAGTACACTGGACAGGTATAGATGAGACATAATTTTTACGGGCTCTACAGGAAACAGGTTGTTGCCCAAGCCTTTCTTGTTAGAGTTTCGTTTCCGATTTCAGAAGTGAATTTCCCCCTTTCTTGGTTCAGTCATCTCTCTCCAGTTCGCGGAAGATAAAACTTGAAAGTAATGTCATTTATTTTAACACTCACCGAAGCCTCATCACTATTTGAATTTGAAATAGCATCAGTATAAAGCCAGTCTCTTATCTCAGAAATGCGTTGCACTTCTCTGTTTTGTTTTATCATTTTAGAACGGCTAATAAGTTTTCAAATCACCATCGGTATAGATATCAATTCAACTATACCAGGAATGCGAAAGTGGGACTTCGAGTAGAAAATTCCCCAGGAAGTTAATTCTCTCTGTAGTTTCCATAACATTATTCTATAGCTCTTTTTTTCTCTAAAAGAAATTATTGCTTTATAGATATAAGTAGCGAACTCGAAACTATCTTGTTCGTTTTACGGATTAGATTTCGTACAAATCAGACTTGCCATCTTTGAAAATGATTTTTTTTCTACCATAGAAGAAGAAATCAGTGGAACAGGCGCAAAGCACGACCACGTATAAAAAACTACAGAAAAATACTACCGTGGCGTCACACATACGATTTAGGAGTTACGTTGGACCGTCGAAAAAAATTCCACAACAGTGTGACGTCATGAATCGGACCGCCACGCACACTATGGTTGATATGACCCATTACAATAATTTTGCGTGTTTATCAAAAACACGTAATGTTCAAAAAGTTCATACATGGAACTTTTTTTCTTGTTTTTCCTAAACCATGATTTCATACCCCTTTTCAGTGGAATACCTCACTGGAAATACATTGATCGGCACGGCCCAGACACGTGGATATTTTTTTTCTTCAAAAGTTACAAAGCAAAGCCGCTGCGATTGGTGAGTTGTGACGCCACTTTCCATATTCGGGCAATGACGGCCACCAACGCATCAACGCGTCAGCTGCGGTACCGCTTCGCACACAGCAGGAGACCACGTTTTGCGGTCCACATGGGTCCTAAATAAGAAATTCGATGACACATGACTTGTGTGGAATGACATTACGCCCTTCACACAGTGACATCATGAATTTCGATTCTCCCGTCCAGAGGGCGATAAATTGTTCCAAAATTTATTTTGTGGCCCGTACTTTTTGGCCCTGCAAAAATTATGTATAAGATTGGGAAATGCCGTCTATGTAGTGCACTCTTGCACGCAATTTGGCGTGCCAGGAGCCACAAATCGCCTGCTGCAAATGCACGTTCACCTACACAACGACGGTCAATCAATTAAATGAAAACAACGCCCTCCAAGGCTTTTCAAACCGTTTTCTTGGAAATCAATTCATCTTGATCCCTAATTAAACAAGTATGTTTAACACACAACCATCACCTTGAAATCTTGCTTCTTTCGCCGACTTTTTGAAAATGCAGTGTCGCACATACAGCGGCTTGGGAGAACATGTAAGTTGGTCTTGGCCTTTAAGTTTCAACAATCTTCGTTTCATTCAGTCCGTATACGGGAACACCTTGACAATACGGTACAAGGGGCCAACCACAATTCCTGGAGTCCCAGTTCCAATGTTTTCTGAGACCATTGGTTAATTCACCAACTTTCTACAAAAAAGCGCCCCGACAACACCCTAATGTTGAAGAGTTCCTGGTAAAAGGAATGCTCAGTGCAAATGCCGGCAGCCCCTCCTCATGCTATCGCAGAAACAACAAATCCTTGTATGACGTCAAACTCCACGTCTACAGACAGTGACGTCAGTAGACAACATTCAAAACAATGACACCCCCTTCCCCGTAAGACCTGAAGCCTGTCTCCTTTTAGACAGCGTTCCGGAGGAAGCTAAGTCATATCATTGCAACTAGAGCTATATTCGCAATGGATGTTTCTCCGAACTCGTTTTCGAGAGCTGAATAGCCAGAAAGCAAAGGGACAATGTCTCGAAAAGTGAAAGGGTAGAGTCAATAATTAACTGCTTGTTTATGGCGTATTAGCATGAGTCTAAATGTGTTCCGACCCAGTTTGGTCAATACCACAATCAATAATCATAGTGCTCGGTACAAGTAATGTTGGGAAGTTCGAAATCCACTTACCACCGGAACACAGAAAATGCCCAGAACTGTACCCACGCAGGTCGGGGGGGGGGGATATCGCTTCCATGTTAATTGGACCATCCGGGCGTCCAAAGATACTCAGTAATGTTACCAGGAGGGGAAAAACACACAAAAAATCGGAAACTAAACAAATAAACGAGTTTACGAGGCAAACATACTAAATTTATCCCGTACAGGGTCCGGCCTCTGACAAGAAGTGCATTAGTCTCCTTACCTTGAGTTTTGAATTGATAGTGTTGACGACTAGTCAAATGACAAATTCGTTTTACACAGCTTTAGGCTTGGGTCCACATAGCTGATGTTTCGAATATGCACTGATTTTTCACTATTTTGATTTCTGTGCACACACAGCTTTAGCATGGTCTCTAATAAATAGACGAGAGCTTAAAAAGCTGATGATGCCGAAGTTTAAGTTGCTTACTGGGAAGTGCAGTGGCGCTTGGTTCACAATCTGGAAACCAGCGGAGCTCGCAGCGTTTGTATTCATTCGTAATCTTGTTTCGTGTAACTGGCTCTATGGGTGCAGACCACTAATTCAAGTGAGAATTTCTGACCAGCTCATTAGCATTAAAAGTGCCCCCACAGTATCTTTTGAAAAAGGAGATTGTTTGGCCCCCAAAAAGGTGAGATTGTGTAAATCGTCGCCAGGATCAACCCCCTGGGTCTCTGAGCTTTCATATGAGGGCAGAAGGGCTGAAAACAACGGTTGAAAAAT